CTCATTCCTCCTCCAAAAACATTTTCTCCCCCCAAAAAATATTTTTTTCATCCCCCATAACGTCAAATATTTATTAATGCTTTTCTCCTTCTCTCATTTCCTTTTTCCCTTGCCAGTCCAAAAAAGCAGGATGGAGCGCTAATTTGCCTCTGGGCACAGTCCCGCATAGCCGACTTACGCTATTTTTGCGGGGAGGGAGGAGACCCCCCTAAGGCGCTTTTAGTAGCTCCCTCCTAAAAAAATTCCTTCACACCCTTACACACTCTACAAATGAAAAATAAATTTTCTTTTTGGCGTTTCACGTTTTCTGCAGAGTTTTTGTTTTACTTTTATTATTATATAAAAATAAATAAAAATATTTTTTATTTAAATAAAAATTTTTACCTCATACGATGAATATTAATGCTTCTAAATGTTTTTTACGATTTTGCCTAAAACATTTACCGTATTTTTCCCAATAGAAGCGCACGTCCCATTTAAAGCGCATGCGCTTCTATTCGGAAAAATAGGTAATTTAAAATATGTTTCAAAGTCTATTTACAACATTTTATTTTTTATAAACATGATTAGAAACATTTTATGAACATTTTAACAATGTTTTTCTGAAAATTTGTTTCTGAAAACTTCTTCCTATCTTTGTTTAAATCATGTTTCAAGTTTAGTTAAAAACATCGTTTAAATTTTATTTAATAAAGCGTTATTATGTTTACAAAATATGTTTGATAAACTTGAAATTTTATTTAGAAACATGTTTTTATGTTTGTTTAAAAACATTTATTCATTTAGTTAGAAACTTGTTTTGAAGTTTAACTAAAAACATGTTGTTATGATATGTTTTTAATGTTGTTAAAAAGATGTTTCTAGGTACCAATGTTTTCATGTTTATTTAAACTTGTTTGCAAGTTTATCTTAATTCATATTTTTACGTTTATTTAAAAACATGTTTTTAAGTTTGTTAAAAACATGGCTAATGTTTATTAAAACATTTGATAAACTTGAAAATTTTGTAAACTTGAAAGTTTATTTAAAACATGTTTTTATGTTTGTTTAATAACCTTTTTAAGCTTGTTTATAAACAAGTTTTTTTTATTTAAAACATGTTTTTAAGTGTTTGCAAACTTGTTCTCAGGTTTATTTATATGTTTTCGAGTTGACAAAAACATGTTTTGAAGTTTCCTAAACATATTTAAAGTTTATCTAAACATAAGTTTTTATGTTCATTCAAAAACATGTTTATAAATTTAGTTTTAGAACATGTTTTAAATTATTAGTAAACATGTTTTATCAAAAACATGTTTTATAAACTTGTAAATGTAAGAAAAACTTTTGATGTAAACAAGTTTATATTAAACATGTTTATATAGAACATGTTTATATATAAACATGTTTTAAGCTTGTTTTAAGCCTGTTACTTGTTTAATTGATACATGTTCGTAAGTTTATTTAAAACGTGTTTTCAAGTTTATTTAAAATGTGTTTTAAGTTTATTTAAAACATGTTTTTAAAGATGTTTAAAAACTTTTTTTCAAGTTTATTTATTTGTTTTTGAGTTGATCACAAACATGTTTTATAAACTTGTAAATGTAAGAAAAACTTTTGTTTTAAACATGTTTATATAGAACATGTTTTAAGCTTGTTTTAAACTTGTTACTTGTTTAATTAAAACATGTTTTCAAGTTTATTTAAAACATGTTTTTAAAGATGTTTAAAAACTTGTTCTCAAGTTTATCTAAAACATGTTTTTAAGTTTGTTTTAGAAGAATGTTTTTAAAGATGTTTAAAAACTTTGTTCTCATGTTTATTCAAATGTTTTCGAGTTGATCAAAAACATATTTTGAAGTTTTTTAAAACATGTTGCAAGTTTATCAAGGAATATGTTTTTAATTTTATTTAAAAACATGTCTCTAGGTTGTATTCAAAAACATGTTTTAAGTTTGTTTTAGAAACATGTTTTTAAAGATGTTTAAAAACTTGTCCTCAAGTTTATTTAAATGTTTTGATCAAAAACATGTTTTGAAGTTTAGCATGTTTTTAAGTATCTAAAACATTTTAAGTTCATCTAAACATATGTTTTTAATTTTATTCAGAAACATGTTTTTAAGTTTAGCATGTTTTTAATGTTTCCTAAAACATATTTTAAGCTTATCTAAACATATGTTTTTAATGTTTTTATAACATGCTTCAAGTTTGTCTAAAAACATGTTTTTAGCATTATTCACTTATGTTTGTATTCATCTCACAAACTTAACACTTACATTATTTATTTTTTATCCAACACTTTTAAGAGAAATGAAGCTTGATAAGCTTCTCGAACATTTACAAAAACAAATAAATACAAACATTTCCGAGAACACAACATTATCTTCAACATCCCAGCAACAACAAACATATTCACAAGTTTTAAACAATTTATTTAATTATAATTCTGCTTCAAATGTTGTTCCTTTAAATGAAAAGGATGTTTCACAAGGACTTTTAGCTGTTGGGGGTTGTAGACAGGTGTAAAACATTATTTGAAAAATTAAATTAATTTATTTTTAGTGTTCCAAAACTTTTACTGACCGTCTTTCTTTAATTCACCACTTTGCTGATCATTTTCCAAATATTTTTTATAGCTTTGAAGAAAGGCCATGCGAGAAAAATGTTAAGGTGTTTTTAATAATTAGGAAAAAATTATTTTGTGAAAATTATTTTCCGGATGGGAATTTATTTTTTAGCTATATACTTCCGAAAAATTATTTTTCCGGGTGTTTATCATTATTATTATTATTATTATATACTTTTCCGCAATATTAGATTAAAATATATTTTACCGGAAAGAATATATTTATATATATTTTTCCGGAAAGAATATATATTTCCGGAAAGTTATTTTTCCGGGTATGTATTATGTATGTTTTCCGGTTAATTATTTTAATTTCTTTTATTTTCCGGAAGATTATATTTTTAAATATATTTTCTTCCGGAATGTTGTAATTTTAAAATATACTTTTCCGGAATATTATAGCTTAGAATATATATTTCCGGAAAGTTATTTTTCCGGATATGTATGTATTATTGTGTTTTCCGGTTGACTATTTTAATTTCTTATATTTTCCGGAAGATTATATTTTTAAATATTTTCTTCCAGAAAGTTGTAATTTTAAAATATACTTTTCCGGAATATCAGTTTAGAATATATTTTTCCGGAGAGTTATATTTTTATAAACTTTTATCATTAGTTTTTTAAATATCTTTATTAGATTCCACAACAACAACAAATTCCATTAAATATCAATATACCTCAAATTATTCCTTCATTTTCGCCCAATGGGATTAATAGGGATTTTACTGATATTGTTGATCATCAATCTTCTATAAGTCCTAAAAATGATGAACAAATCTGGGGGCAGTTGGGAATGCTTTTATGTAAGTAATTAATTAAATGATTTTGTCATTTTAAATATTAAAAATAAAATTTCAATTAATTTAGGATAAAATTTTACTTTCAAATAGGGTTGTACCCCGAATCCTGAGGGCACGTTTTTCGAGGAGCGTTGGAGTATGACTGACAATAAATTGTGAGTGTTATTCTGTCAGTCATCCTCCAACGCTCCCCGAAAAACGTGCCCTCAGGATTCGGGGTACAACACTACTTTCAAAAGACTAACATCTATATTTTTTCAAATAACACTTATACCTTTTATTTAATTTATTGAAAATTGATATAATAATTGAATTATTTTATAGTTTATTTAATTCTCTATCGAATACTATCACAACCTCTTTTTACTAAGGTTGGCGGATCCGGATACCGGATCCGGAAAAACTAAATTTCCCCTTTTAATTTTTAATGATAGTATTTTTAATTCTTTTCCGGAAAGTATTGCATTTATAACCTTTTCCGGAAAGTTATTCCTATGGTTATTTATATATCATTTTATAGTTATACATTTTCCGGAAAGTTATACTTTTACAGTTATTTGTTGTTCCGGAAAGCTAATTTTATATATTTTTCCGGAAAGTTATATATTTTCCGGAAAGTTATATATTTTCCGGAAAGTTATATATAATTTTCCGGAAAGCTACTTTTATATATTTTTCCGGAAAGTTTTATGTTTTTCCGGAAAGTTATATATTTTCCGGAAAGTTATATATTTTCCGGAAAGCTACTTTTATATATTTTTCCGGAAAGCTACTTTTATATATTTTTCCGGAAAGTTATATATTTTCCGGAAAGTTATATATTTTCCGGAAAGTTATATATAATTTTCCGGAAAGTTATATATAATTTTCCGGAAAGTTATATATTTTCCGGAAAGTTATATATAATTTTCCGGAAAGTTATATATTTTCCGGAAAGTTTTATATTTTTCTGGAAAGTTATATATTTTCCGGAAAGTTATATATTTTCCGGAAAGTTTTATAGTTTTCCGGAAAGTTATATATTTTCCGGAAAGTTTTATATTTTTCTGGAAAGTTATATATTTTCCGGAAAGTTATATATTTTCCGGAAAGTTTTATAGTTTTCCGGAAAGTTATATGTTTTCCGGAAAGTTTTATATTTTTCTGGAAAGTTATATATTTTCCGGAAAGTTATATATATTTTTCCGGAAAGTTATATATTTTCCGGAAAGTTTTATATTTTTCCGGAAAGTTATATATTTTCCGGAAAGTTTTATAGTTTTCCGGAAAGTTATATATTTTCCGGAAAGTTATATATTTTCCGGAAAGTTATATATTTTCCGGAAAGTTATATATATATTTTTCCGGAAAGTTATATATTTTCCGGAAAGTTATATATTTTCCGGAAAGTTATATATTTTCCGGAAAGTTATATATTTTCCAGAAAGTTTTATTTTATAGATATACATATATGTAGTTATATATTTCCGGAATGTTATAATCTTATAGTTATTTAATTTTCCGTATTTTTTATTTTATAGTTATATTTTTCTGGAATATTTACTACAATACATTTATTTCTTTTATTTTTCCCTTTAAAATTTAAATTTTAAAAATACACATTATTCCCTTTTTAGCTTTGTTCGGAATAACTCCAAACAATTGCTCACCGCAAATGCTGACCAATTTCCTCTCTTCCCTACAAATGCCAATCAAAAATAATAACAATTTTAATTCCATGGGAATTCCTCCTTTTGTAACAACTACAACAATGAATACACCTTTTCCATTAAAAAATCTTTCACCCCAAAATCAATTTAATTTAAATAAAATAAACGAAAATTTGTATGATAAAAAAGAAGACAAAAAGGAATTGACGGGAAATGATTTAATTAATTTAAAAAATCAGAATGGGAGAAAAAAGAGAAAATCTACGGATGAGAATATAATCGAGAATTATTCTCTTCAGAAAGAAAGTTTAAAATCTTTTGGAAAAAGTGGAAATAATGGAAAAGATGGAAAGAATGAAGGTAGTTGTCGGGGTCGTTTTGGCGCCGGGCCGTTTTGGCGCGAGAACAAAAAAGTGGCACTTAGTCGAGACCTAAATTTATAAAAATTTTCTCAAATTTCTTTAACATCCTTGACTGCCTCCTCCAGTAATTTCAGAATTTCTCATTCAATATTTCTGAAGTTGTAGTCGATAGACTTCGAAAAATTAGGCATTTTTTAGAAAATCAACATTTTAGGCCATAATTTCTAGAATTCTTGATCAAAAATTATGAAATTTTTGGAGAACTTAGATAAAGGCATGAGAGTTATTATTGCGAAATTTTATCATTTTTGATAAACAACTCGCTATAAGCTCGCGTCTAAACGGCCCCGCGCCAAAACGGCCCAGTCCCTGAAGGTATTGATTTGTAAAAGATAGGGGTTGTGAAAAAAATTTTGTCCGGGAATTAATTTTATTTTACGGATATTATTTTGAATTTTTAGTTTGAAAAATAATCATTTTAAAAAATTTACAAATTATTATATAATTTAAGCAAAGAAATCAACAGAAAATATTAGTCAGCAACCAACACTTTCTGAATTACCTTATCACATGTGTCCACATTGTTGTTTAACATTTGCTGAAACTGCTAATTATAAAGCACACTTGGAATTGCATAATGTATAGTTAATATTAATTATAGTTATACTTTTTCCGGAAGTATTATTTATTCTCAGTTATGTAAACTGGACTTATAGCTTCCGGAAAGTTATTGACATTTGTTTTCCGGAAAGTTTATTTTTAGTTAATATTTACAGTTAATATTTGCTTTCCGGAAAGTTTTTAGCTAATATGTTCATACTATTTATATTTTTTCCGGAAAGTCTCTCTGCAAATGGTAGTATTTCCGGAAAGTTTTATAGCTAGCCCCTTACAGTTATCTTTTTTCCGGAAAGTTACTATAAGTATGTATTTGCCTTTCCGGAAAGTTTTAATCTTATTTCCGGTTCAGGCAAGATATTTTTTTAGTTATTTTGTAAAATTATGTTTATTAATGAAAGCTATAATATTTCCGGAAATATATTCAAATAGCATCCGGAATATTTATTTTAATTTTTTCTTTAGCAACCTTTACAATTAAACACTCCACTGCCTAATGAAATTAATTCCTTTTGCGATTCTCAAAACGACCTTCAACAGAAACAACAATTACAAACAAAATGTCCTCTTTGCGAAATGGAATTTAGTAATATTTTTCGTTTGAATGAACATATTCGTTTACACAGTGCCCATTCTTGTGATACTTGCCAAAAAGTGAATTTTAATTTAAAAAAATTTTTCAAAAAAAAATTAATTTTCTCTCAATTTTCCCAGACTTTTATGACAGCTTTTGATTTAAATTTACATATGGGCACACATACAGGATTTACTTATGACTGTAAAGATTGTGGAAAATGTTTCCCTTGTCGGAAAACGCTTGCTGAACATAACCGTTCGCATAGATTAATTCTTAGCAATACAAATATTTGCAAAAATAATGATAAAAATGATAATATCCCGAAAAATCAAATTTTTGATGATAAACAAAAACAATTAAATTATGGAATGGAAAGTCCCCCAATTATGCAATTTTTTGAAAAGCAACAAAATATTGAACAAAATGGACGTAAAAAAGTTAGAGCTACAAGGAAAGGTAAATAAAAGGAGTTAAAATAAAGTTTAATTATTAAATTATATTTTTCCGGAAAAGGTTTATTTTTCCGGAAAAGATTTATTTTTACGGAAAAGGTTTATTTTCCCGGAAAAAGTTTATTTTTCCGGAAAAAGTTTATTTTTCCGGAAAAAGTTTATATTTCCGGAAAAAGTTTATTTTTCCGGAAAAAGTTTATTTTTCCGGAAAGTTTATTTTTACGGAAAAAGTTTATTTTTAAGGAAGGTTTATTTTTCTGGAAAAAGTTTATTTTTCCGGAAAAAGTTTATTTTTCCGGAAAGTTTATTTTTACGGAAAAAGTTTATTTTTAAGGAAGGTTTATTTTTCTGGAAAAAGTTTATTTTTCCGGAAAAAGTTTATTTTTCCGGAAAGTTTATTTTTACGGAAAAAGTTTATTTTTAAGGAAGGTTTATTTTTCTGGAAAAAGTTTATTTTTCCGGAAAAAGTTTATTTTTCCGGAAAAAGTTTATTTTTCCGTAAAAAGTTTATTTTTCCGGAAAAAGTTTATTTTTCCGTAAAAAGTTTATTTTTCCGGAAAAAGTTTATTTTTCCGGAAAAAGTTTATTTTTCCGGAAAAAGTTTATTTTTCCGTAAAAAGTTTATTTTTCCGGAAAGTGTTAATTTTTCCGGAAAAAGTTTATTTTTCTTAAGATTATTTTCCGCATAGTTATTTTCTATAGATTTATATTTTCCGGATAGTTATATTTTTCCTGTAAAATACATTATATTTACTTTTTTCAAGGAGAAAAGTCTAGAAGGAATGCAACACTCGTAGCATTAGAAAGCACAACAACACCTGCAACAAACACTCAACAAACCGAAACTTCAATAACAACAAATAATTTAGTACCTCAAACATCTCCTTTGAATAATTAGTAAAAAATTTGAAAAAAAACATTCTTCAAAATTTTTTTAAAGCTTTAATAATAATTCAATAAATATTGATGATGTTGAGCAAAAACATATTAATTGTGGCAATTCTGCTATAGGAATTATTGGGAATATTTTAACAAAAGCAAATTCTCTTCTTTCTGTTTATGGACAAAATGTATAGAATTTTAATTAATTTTTAAATTTTGTAAGGATGATTCACCTAGCAGCATACAATAAAACGCTTAGGCGGGGGATAATTCATCTAAAAAGGAAAAAGAAAGCATTAGTCGATGCCCCGGTAGCTCAGAGGTAGAGCTCCTGCATATAGTGAGCGAAAGCGCCTAGCAACAACTAGCAGGTGGTCGCAGGTTCGAATCCTGTCCGGTGGCTAAACTTTTGCAAACTCTTTCTATTATAAAATAACAAATTTTGCTTTTACGAAATTTCGAAATGTTTGAATCCCAAAAATAACTTAAAACGTCCAATTTAAAAATATCAGAATCATATAATGCCCAAAATTCGGAACGGCCAATCATTAAAAATGGCGTGCCGAAATTTGCGGTCCCGAACTTTGCGGACACGAATTTTGCGGATCTGATATTTGCGGACCAAAAATTTGCGGACCGATAATAGAGTCTACTGAACCTCGGAAATTTCAAAAATTTTAGCCTGCGGCGTTAATTAGGATGAATTCAGGCATCATGACCTTATGAAAGTGCCATATAAGTGATTTCTTTAAGGAATTTTCTCGATTATTTAAATTATGAAATAATTTTAAGATAAAAAATTTTTAAAAATTTTGAATAAAATTTTTCCTTTTTACTCAAGTGTCGGTCCTAAAATCTTGGTTCCGCAAATTTCGGGTCCGCAAAGTTCGCGCCACGTTAAAAATGCCAATATTCCTTAATATTTTATATGTAAGAATTTCAAATCACAGAATTATTCCTGATGATAAAAACTTTAAAAATATTTCAGAAAATGCCAGAAAATGTAGATCTAGAAAATGAGCAAAAGCCTGAATTAATTTGAATTTATCAGAAAAATAAAAATGAGAATTATATTTACATATGTATTTTTGTTGAGCTGCTTTACTATATTTGTGTGCAGCTTTGAATTATTAATGTGTTCGATAAATAAATTTTATTTTTCAAATTCTGTGTTAAATAAAAATCGCTTTACGTCTTTCTTAACCTGTAATTACCTTACTTTTATTTTAGATCTAATGACACCAGGGGTGGTATTATAAAAACGAGGTAAGGGTTAACCAACCCTCAATAAAATCGGATGGGAGTGTAGAAGGGTGTAGAAAATGTAAAAAATTATTTACAAAAACTTTTCAGGTCCTTTCGGATTATTATATTCAATTTTTAAATGAGCTACATCCATAGTGTTGCCCCCGGACTCGATACTTGCCCTTTCGTCAAGTCCCGACCATATTTCACATAGCTGTTTATATTTATTTTATATTTCTTCCGTTCTCAGCCTATCTTTAACTGGGTACAGCCCAAATAGGCGCGCGGCCAGGTAGGCGCAAACCCATGACTTGCTTCAAAATTTCCAAATCATTCAAAATTTAGTATTAAACGATTCCTCTCATCGAGCTAAAGAGAATGGTACCAAAATTGTTAAGGTCCAGAAATTTTCCAGGTAGCTATGGCTTTGCGCCTACTTGGCCGCGCGCCTACTTAGGCGTGTCCCTCTTTAACTATATCTCTATTTTTCCAATTATTCACCTTCTTCCGTTCCCAACATTAATCACACTTACATTTATCCAATTGTCAACAATTAACAAAGTTCATTCGGTAAAAGTCCAGCTCGCTATCTATATGTCCGCAAAAGGCATTTCTGCAAAACTCATCTTATGCTGCATTCTTCTCCCTTGCTCTTCCTTCCTTTGATGATTGTCAATTCGGCGCATCTATATTGTGGCGTACATCATGAAAGAGTTTATTTACAAATAATTAAATAAAAATTTAACGAATATAATTTTATGATAAAGTCCCGCCAAAATTTATGGAATTTCGCATAAAAATTTAGCGTAATAGATATCTGTGGATTGAAGTGCTAAAGGGTAAGATCCTAAGGACGCTTAAGATTGTTTGGATGCTTGAACTGGACAAAGCCTTTCTATGTGAAATTCCATGAAACTTGGCGGGACTTTATCAAAAAATTATATTCGTTAAATTCTCATTTAATTATTTATAAATAAACTCTTTTTCATGATTTACGTCACAATATAGTTGCGCCAAGCTGTCAACCCATCAAAGGAAAGAAGGAGAATACAGTAAAAAAAAGAGTTTTGCAGAAATGCTTTTGCGGACATATAGATAGCGAGCTGGACTTTTACCAGTTAATTCTTCACAACTTTCCCAGACACATTGTCCGATCAACTTTCTTATATCCCACCCACTATTCCCCATATTTAACCACAAACTATTCAATATATCTTCAGTTCAGTTTATCAAATCCCAATATTAATGTCCAAATATTATTCCTCCCATCTATTAATCCCTATTAAACACTGTCCATTTAATTTATATTTTAAATGGATAAATAAATATTCATAATCTAGTCTTTAATTGCTCAATAGTCGTCTGCGCCTCCCTTACCCAAAACTCCCCCACACAAATACGGCGCTCTGAAGGTGCCTGGACCGCGCAGGTCCAGCGCATAACTATAGTATGCTTAACAGAATGTGGGATTTGGGGGAATTTCTCAAATACTCTTTTAATTCTTTAATTTATATTAATTTCCTTATCCCTTAATTGCGTAAGCAAAGGGGAGAATATGATGCAAGATTATGTACTATTAATGCATTTTCCCAGCCATTTCACTTTGTTATTAACAGCCATTTCCTGTGACACATTCCATTCACATGCTTATGTTTATTTAATGTAAATTATTTCTCCGATAGATCAGTTCCCCGTTGATCAGTCGTTTATACATATATGTGCCCCATAAGAGAACACCGACGGTGTGGCTTGGTAAAGGCGCTTAGCTAGGGAACACCGCGAAATATACCAAAAATTTTGTTATTTAACACATGCCTTCGTGAAGAGCGTGGTCGAAAATGTATTGTAGTGCCTAACTTTTTTGCCCTGACCCCCATTTCGAAAAATTATAGGGCTTCAAAATTTCCGACTTTTGGAGCGGTCGTGTCTTCCTCATTTTTCCTATTAAAGGGAAATTTTTCTCCTCTTTGAGAGAAAAATGAGACTCTCCATTTTCCTTTCCTTCTTCTTTTCCCGTGTTAGTTAAAGAGGGTCTAGCCAACCCAATAGCTTTCCTTAGGACTTATAATAGTTTCTTGTGCCTAGGCTTGGTTTTAGCAAGGACCCAGCATACTTCCACTTGACTATTCCAATAATTTTCGAAACAATAGAAAGTTTTATTAATTTTTAACAAGAAGCGGACATTTTATTTTCTTAGATATCCCCTATTTAGGCATTAAAAATATCGGGGATTTTGGGAGATCAAGATGGATATATAGAAAGTAATAGGATAGGAGGAAGAAATCGAGGGGTTGTGAGGATTAACAAGGATATCGTGGGAGGATATCGTGCGTGTAAGAGGATCATGGGCATCCAAATTCACTTCTTACTTAAGCCCGATATCCTTCCATATCACCTTTGATTTTCCTTGATATCCTGATATAACTTTAAATATTCTAGTGACCCTATCCATGTACTTCTCCTTTTTCAGCTTCACTGATATCCCATTTACTTCAGTTGCCTTACACTAATTAAGAGGGATATTGATGGACGGGATATCACGGGTATCAATGATAAGAAGGATTTTAAGTTAGGGGATCTAAAGTGATAAAGGTTTCGGATTCAAATGGCTCATTAACCGACTATATATCCTCGATATCTCTCCAAATATAGAAAGAGTTCGCAAAAGTTTAGCCACCGGGCAGGATACAAACCTGCGACCACCTGCTAGTTGTTGCTAGGCGCTTTCGCTCACTATATGCAGGAGCTCTACCTCTGAGCTACCGGGGCATCGACTAATGCTTTCTCTTTTTCCTTTTTAGATCGTTTAACCCCCGCCTAAGCGTTTTAAATGCTGCTGGGTGAATCATCCTTACAATATTGATATCCCTTAAGACTACCTTTGATCCCTTTAATCCCCTTATATTTCCAGATTGATAGCTATATCAGAGGATTAAGGGTATTTGAAGTAATATAGGTTGCGGTTTGAGTCGGCCAAATTAAGAAATATTTTAGCGCGGTACATTGGGTAGCGGTAACTTTGATTGCTCCCACGGACAGCCCATATTTCGATACACAGATTCAATCGAATAAATTCTAATAGTAAATTCATGTCATTCTAACTTTAATTTTAACTAAATTAATTTTTTTAAATTACTTTTTTAATTAATTTTAATTAATTTTTATTTAATTTAAACGCTTTTGACTGATAGGGAGTAATTGCACTTTAGTCAATATTGAAATATCAATTTTAAAAATCAGATGCTTGCGAATTCACGTGTTATTTCCTCTATAGCCAATTTTTAAAAAGGCTATTCTCAACAACGAGCAGGAGGGCAAGTTTCTCAATAATGGGGAAGGTGGGAGATGGAGAGACAGATTCGAAATTTCGATTTTCGTAATTTTCAATAATTTGGCCTTGTAGCGCTTTTTTAAGCGTTAAACTTCAAGTCGAAAATCGAATGGTCATCCTTTTAAGCTAAAAAACCTTTTTTCCTCTTTTATCTCGCCTTTATCCTTAAGCTTACTTTGGCAAATCCAAATGTGAAAATAGAAAAGACACTACTTTTAAGTTTCATAGGCGAAAATAATTGGAATTCCCCGTGTCCGGAAATTTGGGGAGTGAATAAATCGGGAGTAGCGGACAATTGGGGAGTAGCCTAACGATAAAAACAATATAGAATTAGTGTTCGGCAAATGACCTTTTCCGGTATTCGGTATCGGTATACCGAAAAAATACCGATACCGAAAAATACCGTTTTTTACAAAAATTGACCGGTACGGTACCCCAAATGTCCGCTCAATCCCCATTTATCTACTCCCCAAATGTCCACTCCCCAAGTGTTCACTCCCCAAATCTCCGGGAGCCGAATTCCCTATTTCTAATTAGCTGAATTCACCCTTTTAAGCGACACTAGACCATTAGAAAATTACAAAAATCGAAATTTCGAATCGGCTCGCTTGACAAGGCTTGACAGGGCATATCGAAAACGCCCTCGTCTATTGAGTGAATTTGCTATAAAATAGATAAGAATCAGTCAGACGATTCATTTGATTTTAAAGCAATACTTAGAAACAAACAGGGAGTCCAACCTGTCAATCATAAAACAACCTCATTGTTAGTTTTTTCAGGCATTATAAAATATAAAAAACCCCCAGTAGCGGTAATTTTGATAAACCTAATGGGAAAAGTTGAGTTTAAGGGCCCGATTTCGATTTGAAAAATAGGCTAGACTCCTATTTGGACGATCCGATTTGGACTCGTTTAGCTTAGTCGAACGCTACACAAATCTACAAAAGGTCTCATATGATATGAGACCGCGGGTTGATTTGTTCCTTCAAATCCCCTCTAATTTCTCCAAATCCTACTTAATTTTTGAATAAATCAACGAAAATATAGCGATTTCTAATTATCGATTTCTAATTATGTCAAAGTTCCAAGATTTCTCTGGAACTAGTTCCAGTTCCAGAACTAGGTTTTTAATTTTTGTAGTTCCTGTTCCGGAACTCCATTTTTGAAATCCCTTAGTTCCAGTTCTGGAACTAGTTCCAAAGCTAGTTCCAGGCATTTACTAGTTCCGTAGTTCTAGTTCCAAACTAGTTCCGGATAATCGTTAGTTCCGTAGTTCTAGTTCCAAAGCTAGTTCCAGATAATCGTTAGTTCCGTAGTTCTAGTTCCGGAACTGGAACTTTGACTAATTAGTTCCGGAACTGGAACTAGAACTAATTAGTTCCGGAACTGGAACTAGAACTAATTAGTTCCGGAACTGGAACTAGAACTAATTAGTTCCGGAACTGGAACTAGAACTAATTAGTTTCGGAACTGGAACTTTGACATCACTGTCTCAACATTACAAGGTTGCAAAAAAATAGGTCGGAACCTAAAATGTCGGACTCTACTAATGAGTTTATTTTCCAACGTTCCCAACACGTCTGACGTCTCCCACCTTCCCCATTATTGAGAAACTTGCCCTTTTGCTCGTTGAGAACAGCCTTTTAAAAAATTGGCTATAGAGGAAATAACACGTGAATTCGCAAGCATATGATTTTTAAAATTGATATTTCAATATTCACTAAAGTGCAATTACTCTCTATCAGCCAAAAGCGTTTAAATTAAATAAAAATTAATTAAAATTATTTAAAAATAAGTTTAAAAATTAATTTTGTTAAAATTAAAGTTAGAATGACATGAATTTACTATTAGAATCTATTCGATTGAATCCAGTGTATCCAAATATGGGTACACCCCAACCTACCGCGAGGCCAACCTACCGCCGAGCTATAACTTCGTTTAAAATTATCAAATCCGGGACGCCTTGGTATGATTCGATGCGCCTCGACGAGCTGAATCGAACCATACCAGGGCGTACCGGATTCGACCATTATGAACGAAGTTATAGCCCGGCGGTAGGTTGGCCTCGCGGTAGGTTGGTCTGCTCCCTCCAAATAAGGGCTGTCCGTGGGAGCAATCAAAGTTACCGCTACCCAATGTACCGCGCAGAAATTATTTCTTAATTTGGCCGACTCAAACCTCACACTATATCACATTAAATACCCTTAATCCACCGATATCCTACTTACCTTTGATACCCGTAATATCAGTGTATTTATTGGGATTAAGGTGTATTCTGCTGTATATCGTATAGTTAATTTTTGTGAAAAAAGTTGGTGCTGAGTCGAACGGTACCACCCTTTTCTCACAGAGATGAGTGTGGACCGAGATATAGGGCTCGAAATGGTAAAAAACCATAGGGGGAGTGCGCCTCGGCTACGCCCCATAGGTTTACGTTGACCATTTTGAGCTTGTTCATCTGCTCTCAGAATCAAGATTTTGAGCTGATTTTGGTGAGCTCGAGCAGCTCTTTCAAATGAGCTCTCATTCAAAAAATGGAATTTTTTGCCTCAAAATTGAGCATGCTCCCCACATGGTTTTTGACCTTTTCGGGCCCTATATCTCGGTCCACAGGCATCTCCGTGAAAAAAGAGTGGTACCGTTCGACTCAGCACCTTTTTCTACCCTATATATACATTTTGAACATTAATTTAGGGGGTTACGTCATAACGGTAAAGTACCGTATATTAACTAAATATTTATTCCTAAAGCTTTTTTTTTCAAACATAAATGCTTAAACAATTTTTGCTTCAATTCCTTTTACTTTTATACACAAAACAACTTTTGTGTGATATTGAAAATGAAATTTCTTCCAACATTGAAGAAGCCGATTTGAACATAACCCAACAAATCGCTGAACATTTAAACATGGCCAAAAAATGTGTTGATCGAGAGAAATGTATCAACAATTTTTTGACAGAAATGACTCAATATGACGAAATGGCTCGTTTTAAAGGAATTTTTGCTTATTGCAATAAGTCTAAAGGAAACGATAAATTGAAGAATGGTGATCCAATTAGGGTACTTGTTTTATTTTTAAAAATTTTCTGGCGATAGGTGTTGGTACTGTGGCAGCAATAGTTGAGTGGAATCATGCGGTTCCATTCTAAAACCATACCTAGACACATTTAACCATTATATTACCTAAGGAAAGCTATTGGGTTGGCCAGACCCTAGCTAAGCCTTTACCAAGCCACACCGGTGTGCTCTTCCTTATAGGCACATATATTTCCAAAGACTGACTAACTGGGAACTGATTTATCGGTGACCACGCCGCCTACTGCATAGCCTTAGGAAATTAATAGCTATATGCTTTACATAATATCATTTAAATATTTTAGGAGGTGATTAAAAGTAAATCAAGGAAGGAGGCGATAGATGCAGCTCAATCTCCTTTAATGGACTATATTAAATGTGTTGATGGGCTTTTCACCTCTATCCATAAAAATTCAAAAAAGAAGCATGGAGCAAAAGAAACCCGTCAAAATTTAGAACACGAGACTACTCAATTTAAAGGACTTTTTCAGATGGACTCAAGTTCAAATCCTTTAACAATCTCTGAAAATTACAAAAATCTTCTTCATTCTTTAATGCTTACCAAACCGCTGTATTTGGCAGCTAAACTGAGAGAAGCTTTAAAGGAAAAGGATGTGCATAGTTTATTAGAGATTATATCCACACAAAAACTGGAGGAATTGATTTTGGCGTTGAAAATAATGAGTGTGCTTAATCCGAAATTTAATCTAGTTAAAATAGATTTTAAAGGGGACAAAGTCAATTTTGATAAATTTTCAAAGAAGCAAGAAATTTTTGATAAAAAGAAACTTGGACAGTTTTTGAATTGGCGCTTTGACCAGAATTGTAGTGAAAAACCTAGCTTTGATCAGGTAAAGGATGGAAATTATTGTACACAATCGCGGATACGCGATTAAGAATGCAACAATTCTCTCCTGACATTAGAGAACGGCAAAATCGCACTTCCGGGATCCCGAGTCGGGATTATTTTTCTTGACCGATGCCGGGATGGGATCCCGAGGGATAAATCCCGAAAAAATCCCGGATCCCGGTTGATCCCGAAAATCAAAAAAAAATCCGGGATTTCGGGATCCCGGTTGATCCCGTCGGGATCCCGTCCCGCGCCGGTCTTTACCTGACACGCTGTTACGATAATTGCGCATGCAATAAGTTTTAGCGACAAAACGGACGACAATTTCGAATTTGTCAATTGCGATTTTAAATTTTTAAAAATTTAAAAGGTTATTCGATCCTATTTTTAGTTTAGACTATCATTTTCGACTTTTGACGTTTTCTGTATAATTTTTAGACTGATACGACACTGAAAACTAGGGCTGCGCGAGGTCGAAGCGAGGTCCTCGCCGAGGAGCGAGGCTAAATATATACCCCTAAGAATGGACTTTTTTGGATGAAATAGAAGAATTTTTGCTTATAGTCCTTCCAGAATCTAAAAATTTTCGCCTGCGGCGCAAAAAGGATGAAATAAGCCTTCCGGGCCTACCAAAATTCTAAAAATTTTCGCCTGCAGCGCTGAAAAAGAAAGGAATTGTCGTAACGGGTACGGCCCAACTAGGCGCGCGGTCAAGTAGGCGCAATGTCATAACTTGCTTCAATCTTTCTGAATCTTTCAAAATTCAGCATTAAACGATTCCACTCATCGAGCTAAAGAGATTGGTACCAAAATTGTCAAGGTTCAGAAATTTTCCAACTAGTTACGGCTTTGCGCCTACTTGGCCGCGCGCTTACTTGGGCGTGTCCCTGTCGTAACATCATGACAGTAGCGTTTTAAATGCTAGTCTGCTCTCCATTATTCCTTACTTTAACATCCAGTCAAGACAGCTCTACTTTAAATATAATCCTTCCGATAGTCGACCCATCAAGTGTTTAATAAAATATTTTAATTATTCAGCCCACATTTTGGGGGCGTGTATATAACCCCTTTAAATCGCTTCTATTTAATGGCCAAAAATGTTTGGAGAAACCAAGTCTAAGTGACTACATGGAATTAATGGAAAATAACGATAAAATACACAATTTGTTAGTTTTTCGGTTGAAATGTTCATTGGAAGAATTCAAAAAAGCATCGCAAACAGACAAAAATGTTGTGGGAAATGAATTGATACACACACTAATGTTATCTAAACGGGTTGATGGAGAATGTGTAACTGACAAAATGGAGCCTAAAGATAAGAATGAACTTCTTAAAGCGATAAATAATCTTGAGTTGGAAGACATTGTCTTCAAATACGCTCTCAAACAGCTTTTAAATATAGGTGTGTTTTTGTTACTTTTGGATTATTTAGTAAAATTATTAGAGCTGTCCGAGACAAAATTTTTTCCAAGACCAAGACTCAAGGCCAAGACCAAAACTCCAAGACTCAAGACCAAAAATAATACAAGACTCGAGACAAAAAATCAATTTTATTTAGCTTAAAATAACTCGGACCACGGTACCATTTAGCGGAAATGATTCAAATTTCACAACTAAAGTAGGGTATGATGTACCTGTCCGTAAAATTTTATGCCGATGTCCCGCGGACACCCCAGGCACTCTCTTTTGTGAGGGATATCGGAGGATAGAGGGGATATCTCCAAATCAACAGATATCTCTCCAAATCTCATACCCCCGAAATCACGTAAAACGTGGTTTAAGCGCCGCAGGCGAAAATTTTCGAAAATCTGGTAGGACAAATCACCAGATTTCTTCACTTTTCTTCGCTGCAGGCGAAAATTTTGAGGATTTTGGAAGTCGAAGTAGTAGATTTCTTCCCTTATTTGCGCCGCAGGCGCAAATTTTGGAAAATATGGATGGACAAGACTCCAGATTTCCAAAAAGGCCAAAAAACCAAGACCAAAAAATAAAACCAAGACAAGACCAAGACAAACACCCCAAGACCAAGACCGAAAAAACCCAAGAAAAGTCTTGGTTCCAAGACCAAGAACAAGAGTCTCGGACAGCTCTAAAAATTATCAGGGCTTTTAGATGACAGAATTATTAGATATTTAAACGGGTATCCAGTTTGTGCCTAATAAAACATGGTAATTCAAAGTAGAACCGGTAATGCCGACTTCCACTTTATCCTTTCCTCAAGCTCAATAATAGTCAAAATTTCTTCATTCCCTAAACTTCTGTATATCTCTTTAATAATTATGCAGCTTGAATAATGAAATAATCGAGCGATAAAATCGGAATTAGCATAAAATTCTCCAGAATTGTTTAAAATTAAATTGGGAAAGGCTAAGCATACTTAAATTTTCTAAATTACAAAATTCGTTTTAGTTTATTTCATTTGATTTTTTAGAAAATGCTTCTCTAGTAATTGAATACTACAATTTTCTCCAAAATTACGGAACTAATCTTGAAATATTTACAAATATATTAAAAACGGATAAATTTAAAATTCAAATAAAAATTATCGAAAATAACGGGGATATAGAAATTAAATCGAAATTGTTTGATGCTTTAAAGGAAAAGAAAGGAAAGAGTTCTTTCTTAGTACATATTCTTGAAATAATAAATGAAAAGATAGTTGATGATATTTATTCGAGTTTTGACAAGTAAGCCGTATACCTAAAGTTGTTAAATTTACAATATTACACCTGAGAAAATTGTTCGACTGGGGATATGTTAGCAAAACTTGTTGAGAATAACTAAATAACTCATTACTGGATAGGCATAATTTCCTATTGTAAGGAAGAGAAAGAGAGATAAGATCCAGCTGGCTAGCATTTAAAACGCTCACTAGTTGGGGGTTTAAGAACTATTAAAAGTTAAGGTGAAAGCAGCGTCCCGGTAGCTCAGTTGGTAGAGCACCTGTACGTGGTGAGCGCCTAGCAATAACTGCCAGGAGGTCGCAGGATCGAAGCCTGCCCGGGATTAAACCTTTACATCGCTCTTACTCTATTAATGGATTAGTCGGCCAATTTATATGCTCCGACTTGCTTTAAAGTTGCTTCTCAAAGCAAGTTAGTCTTCAAAAAAAACGTAAATTCTTCTACTTTCGTTGGCGGTACGACAATTGAGGATACGCACTTGAGGATATGACAAATGAGGACGACATTTGAGGACGACAATTGAGGATCTGACATATGAGGACGACAAATGAGGACGATATATGAGGATTTGACAAATGAGGATAAAAATGAAAAATAAAAAAGACTTGAAAGATCCATAAAACTCGGAAGACCCCCACTTGGAAGACCAATAATGAAGAATTCTTCTCTTTCCAGCGCCGCAGGCGATCATTTTTGAATTTCAAAAGGTCAAGGATCACAGTTTTTTATTATTATTTTAATCCTCAATTGTCGTCCTCATTTGTCGTCCTCATATGTCAAATCCTCAATTGTCGTCCTCATTTTCATATCCTCAAGTGCGTATCCTCAATTGTCGCAACACCCTTTCGTTAACGCGGGCAACCATAAAAATAAAATATTATCAAAGGACACCCTCCCTTAGTTAAAATTTTAATTAAATTTTAAAACAGGTTAAAAACAAAGAAAGGCTTCTCCTTTACGAGCTTAATTAAACAAAGCTCGGCCGTTCAGGAAGATGAGATACTACAAAAAGGACTCATTCACTTCTTCGAGCCTTTAATTCAAGCAAAATATTATGCTCTAGCTTTAGCATTAAAGCAGATAGTAATGAAAGAAAATGAAAAAGAGGAGGAAAATATTTACGAAAATCTACACAGTATTAAATTAAACATTTCTGAAGAGGATATGAGCAAAATTAGTTTAATTGAAAATAATTTTGTTTTGATTGAGAATTCTTTGAAGGATTTGTCCGGGGATTCTAAATTATTTGAGGAATGCAATGGAATGATTTTACTAAAGCTTGGGTATGACAAAAACGAGTTTGTTTCACAGCTTGTAGAGGAAATGAGCAAAATTATGTGGAATTTGGATTTTAAATGTATGTTGTTTTTTATTTGAGAAAAAATATCTGGGGAGTTCCGATATCCCACATAATTACACGATATTGTAAGGATGATTCACCCAGCATTTAAAACGCTTAGGCGGGGGTTAAACGATCTAAAAAGGAAAAAGAGAAAGCATTAGTCGATGCCCCGGTAGCTCAGAGGTAGAGCTCCTACATATAGTGAGCGAAAGCGCCTAGCAACAACTAGCAGGTAGTCGCAGGTTCGAATCCTGCCCGATGGCTAAACTTTTGCAAACTCTTTCTGGTGCCGCTAACAGGGAACCCTACTTGCTACTGGGTGAACAAGCCGATCCACGGTCATGGCGCTTAACCGAGGGACCGGTCTGATGTAGGGATGGAGATGTAAAGATGAATCACCCAGCAGCATTTAAACTCTTTCAATATCCCTATTAATCCATTAATCCCATTTATTACTATTAGCTAACTTCAAGTAAATTATTCCCGAGATCCTATCCGAATCGGACATTATTCAATATGTATTAAATAAAAATTTCGGTTCCAGATCCGGATATTCGAAATATTTAGTACAACTTCATGATCCGGATCAAGATATCCTGGGATTTTCTAGGATACAATTACTAGGGATCGGATTTATATTTAAATAAATCACTGAAGCGGCCCTGCCCGCTAACTGACCACTGTCTCTCCATTTTTTTATTACATCTATCACTGGTTATTTCTGTCTTTCTTCTATTAGAACTCAATGGTCAGACACTGGTCAGTTAAGGCTTGTTCATGACCAAGGTCGTTTTTGTGCCCTATTTAAATATAAATCCGATCCCTAACAATTACGAAAAAAAATTTAAAAGAATTTAAAATTAAGTCTTAAATGGGGTTTTCTTATAATAGGTTGAGGAAAATTAAAATGTTAACTTCAATTTACAGTGAGTGGTGATACAAGTGACCAATTCATACCTAGTTATTTTGACTTTCGAGCAGTTCAAATTACTCGAAATGGAGGGAAAGGGACTCTAGCCACGCGTTTGATTGAGAAAATTTTCAATTATGCTACAAGTCCATTCGATTGGTTAGGAAAGAAGGCGGCTAACAGCAAAAATGGGGTATTTCAAAAGGTCTATAGCCAACTGAATTCAACGATTCAAGTCTTCCGTTCTTTTGTATTGAGAAAAACACCCATTGAAAATATGTTTGTTCAACTTTATTATCACGAGAAAATACGTGGAAAAAAATTGAAAGGGAAAATTTTAAAAGTAATTGGCAATTTTCAAGAGGATTTGAGGGAGGAGAAGACTTGGAGGGAAATCAAAAAAGATTTTGGGGAATTAATGAAGGAAATTGAAATTTTAGTGAAGGTTTTAACCTTAAAAGAGGAGAAACCTAAAAATATAGAGGATAAGTTAAAACGGATGGTAGGTGAAAAGGAGCAATTAAAAGGAAAGGAGGAGAAGGAGGAGGATGATTTCAGTTTAGATTCTGATAGTTTTTCTGCAGAAATCTTTAAAGGGCTCAAGAAAGTAACGAATATTTTTAAAAAGAATGCGAAAGAGAAGGAAGATGTTGAGTGGACTGATATTAGAAGCTGTGCTATTTCGAACTTGCAGGTGAATCAGATTTAATTCGAAACTCACCTTATGTATGTATAAGAACTTATAACGAGATATACCGTATTTCCTGTATTAGAATGCCATGGCATTCTATTTTTCAATCACCTTCAAAGGTGGCATCCTATTATAGGGTGGCATTCAAATAGAGGGTGGCATTGTATTTTCGATCAGCTTCCAAGATGGCATTCTATTATAGGGTGGCATTCAAATAGAGGATGGCATTGTATTTTTCAATCACCTTCCAAGATGGCATTCTATTATAGGGTGGCATTCAAATAGAGGATGGCATTGTATTTTTCAATCACCTTCCAAGATGGCATTCTATTATAGGGTGGCATTCAAATAGAGGATGGCATTGTATTTTTCAATCACCTTCCAAGATGGCATTCTATTATAGGGTGGCATTCAAATAGAGGATGGCATTGTATTTTTCAATCACCTTCCAAGATGGCATTCTATTATAGGGTGGCATTCAAATAGAGGATGGCATTGTATTTTTCAATCACCTTCCAAGATGGCATTCTATTATAGGGTGGCATTCTAATACAGGAAATACGGTATCTTGTAATTATGTAGGTTCCTTGTAACGAGGTATATCTTAAGCTGGGGGATATTGCTTAGCAACTCCCTTCATCCAGTGGCCAACAAAATTATTATAGAATGTATGGGCTTGACTAAAAATTATAAACTTTTTTGTCAAAAATTATAGTAAGGAAGAGAAAAAGAGAGAAAGATCCAGCTGGCTAGCATTTAAAACGCTGACTGCGGGGTTTAAGATTTATTAAAAGAGAAGGTGAAAGCAGCGTCCCGGTAGCTCAGTTGGTAGAGCACCTGTACGTGGTGAGCGAAAGCGCTTAGCAATAACTGCCAGGAGGTCGCAGGATCGAAGCCTGCCCGGGATTAAACTTTTACCTTGCTCTTACTTTATTCAAAAATTTTTAGACACTTTCTACACAAGAATCAACAACGTTGCTCCGTACTAAGCGTGAGGACCCCGTCTTTTTATACCATGACAGACGCTATTCTGTTAGGACCAGCAATGTCTGGAATTATATTGGTTGGTATTTGATCTTTGGATTTTTCTTGTGGGCAGGATCATCAGTCGGTGTCTTAAGAATTGTGGCTGCATTAAACCCTCACTGTCCAGTGCCAGTTATTCATTTATCAGAAATGCATATGCCTGAAATGCATATGCCTGTAATGCATATGCCAGCAGTCTTTCGTAGACAACAAGACTCTCCCAATACTCCTCCACATATAGAATTCCAACCGCAACATCCTCCACATACACAATTTCAACCGCAACCAAGTAATCCTAATCGTGCCGATGTTGAAATGGGAACTGTTTGGGGTATCCCTGTTCTTCCGCAACAAATTGGACATCCAATAGGACAGATTCATCCTGCTCAACAATATCAATATCGCCACCGTCGTAATGTGAAAGAAGCGCAGAAAGGTTGGTATTTATTTAAGAATAAAGTATGGCCTTAATTGGAAGAAGATGAAAGATCCTGGCAAGTAGGGTTGCCGTTTTCGAGTCGGGCCGACGGTCGAGGCATTTTTTGGGGTTGTTTTTATCGTGTAGGGCCGGTACGAGTCACTTTCGGGCCAAACATCTAGACCCGACTCGATCTTTCGGTCCGAGTCGGTCCATTTTTGGTAACCCTGCTAGCAAGTATTTCAACGCCTACTAAAGTGGAATTAAGTAGTTCTTTTAATATAAGGCAAAAACTCAATCGGAGTAAAAGGCCATTAATTTTTTGCCTACTTTGCCTTATCCTACCTCATCTTCTTTATTTCTCACTTATTAGGGATGTGCGCAAAATTTTTGCTTAGTGCGCCTTTTGTTGGGATTAAGGCCGATATCTCGGGTTTGGGAGGATTAACAGAGATATTAAGTTACTTTGTTGGATTAAGATGTAGATCAGCCGATTTGGAGGGATATCAGTGAATTTTTATCACTTTATATCATCACTTTTAATCATTTTTTATCAATACTGACCGATTGTCCACTGACGCATTTTCCACTGACGCATTGTCCGGGAGCCTTTTCTCCTAAGGCTTTCCAAAATTCTAGAGTTGGGCTAGAGTTAACAAGGCCCAAAAAATACATTAAAAACTTCCAAACATCGATCAGAAAAATTAAAAAATATATTTTAGAATGTCTCTTGAATGGAGGAACATGCCCAAATTCGGTTTTTATTAGTTTTCATAAAGACGATCACGAAAATTCATTGTCTTCTGTGAATAAAAACGAATGCTTCAAAAGCTTTGGCGATCAGAAAATTCGAAAGAAACGAGACGTTTTTGAGATTGAATGGGTTGAATGTGGCAATCTTATTTTCATGTTTTGGACTGTTGGAGTTTTTGTTGCATGGGTTGTAGGTGCAGTTTTTATTGGTATTCATTACTTCTAAATGGGAAGGTTGATTTGGTAGTGCGAAACTTGCGGAGCGACTTTTGCGGACCATAGGTTTAGGTTTTGTTTTTCTATCGTAACTTTGTCCAAGCTTGTACAATCACGAAGATTTTGATGTCATTCGACTCAGCTCGTCGAGTTCTTTCGGATGAGCTATGTTTTGAGAAGGGTCCGCATGTTTCGGTCCGCAAAAGTCGGTCCGCGAGTTTCGGCCTGCCGTTGATTTATGTTAAGCATTTCTAAATCTTTTATTATATTTTACCCATTATTTTTGGTAATTTTGAACTTTGTGGCATTTGTATTGCCACCCAATTCCCCCACCAATTCCCCTTTGCCCCTCCGAACATCCTATTATGTATTTTCTTAGGGTTACTAACATATAATTTTGACATTTAAGAAAATTCTTTTACCAGTCTATTCAAACCCAATTTTTGTGTCACTGTACTCCTCATTACCAACTATCATAACCCATACCCAATTATAAGCGTATATTTTTTTCCATAAAATTTCACCATAAAATTATTACTCGCATTATATTGTAAAGCATATAGCTATTAATTTCCTAAGGCTGTGCAGTAGGCGGCGTGGTGTAATGGCTAACACATCAGTCCGGTCTACTGAAGATGCTGGTTCGCTCCCAGCCGCCGATTAACCTTTTGCACTAGCTAAAGGAGAGAAATAGCTATAGCCCAGCTGCTTTACTATATATATGATTTTATTTTTTAACTATAAAACTAGTACAGTCGGACCTTACTTAATGATATTTCTTTATAGCTAAAAAAACTGTAATCTGTATTGAGCTGTATCTAAAAAAGAGGCTTATGCAACTCCCAACAGTACCAAAAAAGTGTTGAAAATTTATCTTAACCTTACATGTACCTAATATTGGGCGTTTCTTAGAGTGGGGTCCGACTGTATATAACGAAATTCATTTTTTATACACTTTTAATTAGGAATGTTGCATATGCGGGACTGAGCCATTAGGGCGCGGGGCCATTACGGCGCGAGCTTATAAAAAGTGAGTTTCTTATCAAAAAAGAAAAATTTCGCAATAATAACTCTCATGCCTTTATCTACGTTCTCCAAAAATTTCATAAATTTCGGTTTCGCCTAAGTGTCAGTTTCTAGTGCTGGCGCCCTAATGGCCCCGCGCCCTTATGACCCCAACCCGCATATGCCGATTTTGTTTTCATCTCTTTAAAAGTCGGTTTGCAACATTTCTGATATCAATTTTGGGTACTTTATGGATATGTCACCCCCACCCCTCCTATTTTGAGTCTCAGAGTTTTCCTTAAACGTAGAAAATGGGCAGAGATTATTTTCTTCTCCATATTAATCATTTTTATAAAATACTTGAAAAAGAAAAATATGATTGACACGGAGAAGAAAATAATCTCTGACCATTTTCTATGTATAAGAAAAACTCTGAGACTTAAAATAGGAGGGGGTGACATATTGTAGTATTATTCAGACCTGGTCATGGATACGGATATGGATACAAATAATACCAAAATTGCGGATATCCGCCTGTATCCGTCTGTATACACCGTAAATATCCGGATACCAAAATCAGTATCCGTGACCAGGTCTGGTATTATTATTTAACTTTAACTGATATTTAACTATTATTTTTATCCAAGTTTTGCATAAATTATTTCGGGTATTTCAATTTTTATACATATTTATAAAGAAAATTAGATTTATCTTTGGCAAAAGCTAAAATCGCTATCTTCCTTCCTATTTATAGACTTTAATACAGAAAAACTAACTCGAATTACAATAGAATTTCGCGGAATCTTGGTAGAATAAGTGGTATTTAGGGGATTTAAAAGAATAATGAGGAGTTAACCTCCAATTTCCTTCAAGTATCCTTATGACACCCTTAATTCATTCGAATCCCGAGATATCTTCCTTAATTACCAATATTCATTCAAATTCCCCATAATCCCCTTAAATTCCCTCCAAATATACATTTTATTCTACTAACCCCTGATATCCCTCCAAATCCAACCCTCCATCTCCCACAAGCTCCAATTAATTTCCTCAATTCCCCTTAATTCCAATTAATCCGTCCACTCTCCTTGATTTATCTGTATTCATCGCCATCCCCTTCGTTCCTTCGATATCCGACTAAATCCACTGCGCTAAATGATCAAAGTTTCTAGGTATTTGATCATATAATTTTATTCTCCAATCCATTACCCATCAAATTTCATAACCTTGGATTTGAAAATTTTTTTCATATCTATAAATTTATTTGAGATCCGCCTACTGGCTCTGAATCAAAAGGAATATATTAATCTAAAAAATATCATATAAAAGATAAGATATGATAAAAAATGCAGGTGGTCGTATAATTTACGGACGCACTCTATTATACGCTTTTGGTGAATTGTCTATTGGTGAATTACCCCGTTTGGTGAACTGTCTTTTGGTGAATTACCCCGTTTGGTGAATTGTCTTTTGGTGAACTGTCCTTTGGTGAACTGTCTTTTGGTGAACTGTCCTTTGGTGAACTGTCTTTTGGTGAACTGTCTTGACACGACAGACCATACAATACCCAATTTTAAAAATCTCGGTTATCCTCCGTTCTCTACCTCGATCTCGGTTCCAAATCTGCCCCTCGATCTCGGCTTTCCCAGCCTCGGTGACTTCTTTCAATATTTTTTAAAATTAATAGATATTTATAACTAAAATAATAAAAAATTATATATTATAAAATTTACTAAAAAGAAAGGAAAAAAAAATTGCTGAGATTTTCATTTGATTAAATGACCATGAAAATTAGTTTATTATACAATATAAATTTTGAAATAGAAATTGCTGGTTCTTTTCCTCTGTGTTCTTTTTTCATGTCGAGATAAAAAAAGGAAAAAATAATCCTTTTAAGATAAATAGTTACGGACTTTTGGGAACATAAAGGAAAAGAATCTGGTACTATCACATTAGCTGCCACGATAATATTTTTCTTCCATTTCCTTTTTCCTCTTCAAAAAGGAAGATCCTTAAGCTAAAAATCCTTAAGCCAAAAAATTTTTTGGAAGATCCTTAAGCCAAAAATCGTTCATTTCAGGCCAGGCAAAAATTTTGAGGTTTTTAAAAGATCAAGGACACAGATTCCTTCCTTTTTTGCGCCGCAGGCGAAACTTTTGAGAATTTTAGAAGGTCTTAGAAGAAAAATAATGTCATTTTTGCTAAAAACCGCAAGAAAATATAAAAAATCCTCATAATCTTCAAAAGACCACAAAATCCGCAAATCCGCATTTTTAAAAATAATCCTCATCGCCCTATCGAAAAACCAGAAAATGAGGAAAAATCCGCAGATATCGAAACCCTGGTCTAAAGGTCTAAGTAATAGTATTTGTAACAGGTTTATGAAACTTTTACGGGAATAGAGAGCCCTATGTTCAACCTAGAGTTGAAATACTCACGCATAATACCTGAACATAATACGGTTCTAAAAACCAGAGAAGATACTTATAGTTTACTTCAGGCATGGTCACGGATACTGATTTTGGTATCCGGATATTTACGGCGGATACAGACGGATACAGGCGGATATCCGCAGGCATTTTGATATTATCTGTATTCATATCCGTATCCATGACCATGCCTGTTTTACTTTATGGATTACTTTACCCATGTGTACTTTTTCAAAAAAGGAATAGGAAGAATAATAAAATAACTGCAGCTAATGGAGTACCAAGTAGAGTTGGGCAAGATCGGGACCGGGATCATTATTCCAAAAGGTAGTGCGAAACTTGCGGACCGACTTTTGCGGACCATAGGTTTAGGTTTTTGTTTTTCTATCGTAACTTTGTCCAAGCTTGTACAATCACGATGATTTTGATGTCATTCGACTCAGCTCGTCGAGCTCTTTCCAATGAGCTATGTTTTGAGAAATTCGTCTTGTCCGCAATTTTCGGCCTACCTTCCAAAATCCCGATATTTACGTCAGGATCCCGTCCAACTCTAGTACCAATAACCTTAAAAAAGAAATATTTTTAAAAATCTGATTATATACTCATCACACCTTTAAATTAAAATTTGATAAAAAAATATTCTGATTTTT